CTTACACCCAACTTAATAAATCTGTACTTTATTAATTTGCTGTTGAAAATTAATGTAGCTCTACAGTAGTTGCAATGTGTTGCATAATTACACAATGCAACACATCTGATGCAGCTAACAGCTAAGAAATACTTTTAATAGCAAAAATCCAATATGGGATCAGTAAACTGCTTTGGATCCAAAAGAGTTGAGTCCGAATATTAGAAATCGGAATCAAATCAATTATTGGAATTTAGATGGATACCTAGACGTATTCTTTATCAAATCTAGAGCTTTGCCCATTTTTCTTTGCAAAATAGCTTAACCTACTGTAAGTCAGATTGGATGGAAAACATCAGTTAACAGTCATGTAACATTTTTACCACTGAGTCTTCATTAGTTTTGGGACATGAATTGACTTGAAAAGGGCGAATGTAAATCATTTGATCTAAACTGTAGCTTTGGCTGCATGCTTAGCTTTTTCTCCTACTGGAAGGGGACCCTTTTCCCAAATCTTCATTCGTTTTCAACCCATAACAGGATTTCTCCTAGAATTGTCCTGTGTTTAATCAAATCTGAACAGCGTCCTTGTCCTTGGTAAACAAAGCATCCCCAAAGGAAGGTCCTGCATCACCATGTTTATAATTGGATGTTTGGTGGTGTTAGTTTTCCACTGCTCAAAGAGATTAGAATTTATAAAACTTTGGTCTCTTCAGAAGAGAGTCCATCTTCCTCATTCCTCATCTTTGCAACAGATTAAGCAGCTCCAGCTATGGATCCATTCAGCTTCTCATCGTTGCCTTCTCATTTTTAGTGACAGTGATTTTGATTTGCAGTGTCAGATGCTTGTCTGCATACTGGTGAACTGATAGGATAATCTATTCTAACCTAAAGTGCTCCATAGTTGTATGCCTGAGCTGCCTGGTCTGTTCCTCGATCCCACTGGTGCTGTTTGTTCACTTATTTTTTCTTTGTTTATTTTTAATCAAACAAGAATTTAACAGTCTTCATAGAACATAGAACTAAGGGCCCCCATTTGGATTGTGTCATTTAAACATTAACTTTGCAGTCCAACCTTCTTTAACTGGATAATTTAATTATTCATTTTTTTAAAATCACTATATTACTTTAATGACTAGGTTACAGGTGCACAGAGAAGCTTCTGAGTCTTCTTCCAGACAAAGAAAGTAAAAAAATAAAAAAAATATATCCCCCAGTTATCCGAAGCTGACAACAGTGAAGATGCAACTGTTTCACCATGTGTGCCTATTGGCTACTGAGTAATGACTAAGTAATTACTTGTGGATAATGCAAAGGAAGTAGAGCATCCTCCTCGAGGACAAACATTTAAAAATGCCCTGGGCTTCAGAGCAGCATTTAGAGTTAACATTAACAATTAAATAATAGTATAAATAAACTAACCTTGCCTTACCTGCACGGTCATTTTATTTTAATATTCATCTCCTATAACAATTTCTCCCTTTTAATTATTCATTTTTATTGCCTTTAATACCAAGTTTTAATACTAAGTTTATGATTTTTTTTATGTTATCCCCTATATGCTGCTACAAAGAACTTTTGTCCATGTTTTCCTTTTATATTTTGTTCATCTGCAGCTATTTGTATTGTCTTAAATAGTGCTCTATGAATAAGATTGCTTTGCCTTACTTTTTTCCTAACATTCGGTAATCCAGGATACACGTCACAATCTTTGTGCACGACTCTGTGTTCCATCACATAAAATCCAGGTGAACTACATTACAGTTTGTAAAACATGACCAAACAGGACAAAGTTTTAACATGAATAATTTTGCAGCTCACTAATTTATCTTCTGAAACTGTTACCCATCTGCCACCCCTAGTACAAACCCAGGCCTCCATTCATCTCTATTAGCTCTAAACTCCCCAGTACAGCCACTGCATAGTGAGGAAAACCGAGCGGCATGTTGTGTAAACTAGCGAGCAGTTGGATTTTCGTTTTTATGAGAAGGGGGACAGTCAGCTTCAGCAGAGGAGGGGGGCTAACCAAATGGTGCCTTTCTCCCCCTCAGTGCTCCATGTCTCCATTTCTCCTCCTTTTGCCAGCCCTCATCAGCATGCAAATGAGACAGGACAATAAAGGTGAACTTGGACTAGAACAGCAGTCTGACATTTAGTTGCCATTTTGTGCAGAGAGTAGGAAAAATACTTTGCTGTCTGTGGGGAATAGCTCTAACAATCGTCACCCCTCTACTCAGGAGAAAGATGAAAAAAGTCTGGAAGAGGTGGAGATTATGGTGCTGCTGAATCTGAAGGAGTGTAGTATCTCCTTTCTTCCTATACTCTATTGTATTCAGTATCCTACTGCCAATATTTTGCAGTAAATACTTTTCTTAGTCTATGTCTTTCAGTTTGCTTCCCCTCCGTTTCGCTCCCTCTAGAAAACAAACAAAGACGCACTTACTGTACCCACAAAAATCTATCTGCAGCTCTCAGTCTCTAACATAGGAAATTGTGCTGTGAGGTGACTAGGTGCTACGTAACGGTGGCATTAGGTTTTTATCTCAGTGAGCCAAACACAAAAGAAGCAGAAAAGGGACCGAGCCAAACACAGAATGAGAGCTGTTTCACGGTCAGCTCAATACAAACTGAGCCTTAGAGGTATTTATGTGAATCTCTGGTCACAAAGTTACTGTCATCCACAGCTATTGAATTATTGCTTATTACAAGCTCTTTTTCTCCCATTAACTCAACTCCTATCCTTTCATAAGAAAAACTGCTACATTATTACCTTTTCACTTCTCTGCTTTCAATGCATTTTTTTTTCTTCATGCCTTACAATGTTCTGTATTTGAGGTTCAAGCTGGGCTGCAATTGTTATATTTCAAAATATGATGTTAAATTACAACTTGGAGTTTTCATCTACTCTCTGACTTCTCATTTTGTACTTTCTTTATCAGCTTTGTTTAATGTTTTGGGTTTTTTTTTTTACTGTACATATAGCAATATACATAGCGTTAAAAAATTGAAGTCAGGCAATTGATGGTAATTAAAACCTTAAAACAATTTTCTCTCAAATTAGAAACAGAAATAAGGAACGCTTCGCAGAACGAATGCACACATTTTACATCATGACATTTCAATCTGTACTTGGGAGAAAATGAGCAGGAAATGAGGGAACTTATTCATGGGCTGAGTTGTATCAGTTCACATATTGAAGCTGCTCTGGAGCTCTGGAGACTTCGTTTCAAGCTTGCTCAGAACTTCCTTCATTTTTTTTTCCTAAAGTGAAGATTTAGCAGCGCTATCAATTCCAGGGCAGTAATCATCTGGGATGCTCACAGCCTCTATTTCTTCTGCTGATCTGTTCATAGGAGTGACATCACAAATTAGATGGTAAAGATCTATCCAGGCTCCTTACTTTATGAGGTAGAACCAACTATTCTCTAAAAACAGAGCAAAGGCCATGTAATAACTGACTTCAAAGCTTAAATTGTCACGCCACTAAATTATCAGGCCTTTCTTTCTCTTCGGAATTTGTTGCAACTCACTACAGAGACTATGTAAAAGGTGAAATGTATCTACAGAGATGTGAACTGAAGAAGATTTTTATCTGGAACGGAAATATTTGTTTTAAATCTACTTGCAACAACAAATGACTGCTACCATGCAGGTACTGTATGAACCCAAAGTACCTGCAGTGTTAAAGCAGAACAAACTATACAAAGTCTAGGCTTTATTTTCCCATGTAGGGGCTGCACACTGTTGCAGTGGGTACCACTGCTGCCTTGCAGCAAGACGTTTCTGGGTTTGATTCCTGGCCCGGGGTCTTTCTGCATGGAGTTTGATTGTTCTCCCTGAGTATGCGTGGGTTCTCTCCAGGTACTCAGGTTTCCTCCCACAGTCCAAAAAAATGACTGTTGGGTTAGTTGGCTTTCCTAAATCATCTTTAGGTGTGAGTGTTCACGTGAATGGTTGTTTGTCTCTGAGTTGCGCTGCAGTAGACTGGCGACCTGTCCAGGGTGTGTCCATTGACAGATGGAGATAGGCACCAGCACTCGTGACCCCAGCAGGGATAAAGCGTGATGGAAAATGGATGATGTTATCATGAGAACCAAAACCTTATGTGTAATTTTGTATAACTTTGTTACTTAAGTGTCCCTTTAAAAGTTGCACCTTTAATGTTTGTCTATTTTTAATATTTGCCTTCTTTACTTTACAAACCTTTTCCAAGTTTGTCTGAGGATAACTCTTGTCCACAGCCCTCTTTAAGTAAACTATTCATGGTTTTACTCACGTTCCTGCTGTCTAATTTAATTTCAGAAGGTTTAAGCAGGTGTCCAGCTTTAGTGTTGTCCCTGTAGGTGCATATTGTCCCCAATCTTCTTTTCATTGCAGCATTCACTCTCCAATGGGGATTTTTAAAAGCTGTATTTTATGTTTGCATGCTCCTCCTAACCGATACCTTTAAACACTAACATCCTGTCAGAAGACTGTGACTCCAGCCCAAGGATGTCGATTTGTAAATGTCAGAAAATGTAACAAGAGTTAAATGTAATTAGGTGAATTATATTGACTACAAGGTGTTAACTCAGGAGGAGTGACTTTTGAAACTGAATTAAAATGGTACTTTAAAAATTAGGTTAAGTGCGTGCACACTTATGCAATCACATTACAGTAGCTTTTAATTTTTTCCTCTAACAAATATGTTTGTTTTCCATTTAATTTGTGCTGTTTTTGTGTTAGTTTTCATGCAGAGAAGCTTTTGATTGTTTTTTTTTTTTTGTTTTTTTCTTCAGCGTATCTTTTTCCATCACAGAAGTGTGGCACTTAAACAGGGGTTTGTACTCATTATAGAGGGATTGTATAAAATAACATCTAAAACAGTAAATGGGCCAAGAGCAAAAGAATGAATAACTGTCAGTTGTCCCCAAAAAAGTTAACACCCTACCCTTCCCCCTTTTTTGTTCACTTCCAACATAGTACCAAGTTCTTTTTCTCCTTATTTCAACATTCTCCTTTATTTTTCCACCAAACTCTAGCTCTGAAGGACGACCGTTTCCAGATGGTGCTCTTCACGCCGCAGCTGGTGCGCATCACCCTGACTAACGTCAGCGTGTCGGATGAGGGAGGCTACTTCTGCCAGCTTTACACGGATTCCACACACCACCAGGTGGCGACGCTCTCGGTTTCCGTCCCCCCAGAAACCCCCATAGTGGAGGTGAAGCAGCAGGCTGTTGAAGGGGGCGAGGCTGAGCTCACCTGCGTGTCGCCACGCAGCAAGCCGGCTGCCACTCTACGCTGGATGCGCAATGGCCGGGAAATATCAGGTATGAGGAAGCATCTCAGAGTGATGGATGGGTAGATGATGAGGGGGGATGGATATGAAAGTTAATGAGCTGGTATAAGACAGGTAGAAAGGTGGGGTTACACCACAGATTGAGTGCAGAATAAAATAGGAATAAATGGTGGAGTGATTGATGGGTTGACAGGATGAAAGGCAGATGAATCAGGAAAAGAGAGCAGGTGAAGACAGATAGAGAGATGGAAGAAACATTAGGATTGGAGCTGTAGAACTGTCAAATTCTCAACTAACATTTTCTCTATTTAAATTGCTACAATCTAAGTACCTCTTTACGATAGAGCGACAGTAATTCTGCAGTCCGATTGTTTAAAGAGGCCATCGTCAATTTATTATAGAACCAGACCCTATGCTGTGTAATACCAGGATTTTAAAGATTAAACAGATTCCCTACATCGACAAATATTTTCTCACTAGATCAATGTACAGTTAGGTTCACTAGAAACTGTTTAACAAAATATAGTTCTTTGTGTAAATGTGCATTCTGTGGCAAAAGCACATAATGAAGCAGTTCTAAATTACACTGAATGTTTATGTGTGATCTGCTGATGATCTTAGAGCGGAGCTGATGCACCATCACCTGGTAAAGCATTATTTTCTGTGCCTTTCCAAGTGCTAGCTGCAGCCTTTGTGTATCAGCCCATCTGTTTGCCTTTAATAAAGCTTCAGAAAGTGAAATGCATCTCAGTTGGTTTTAGATCAAGGGATTGACTCTGGTCACTGCAGGATGCTCATCTTTTTTACCACCAGAATCTTCTGGTTGGCTTTTGCAATATGTTTTGGGTCATTGGCTATCTGTTCTGTGAAGCTTCTTCCAATCAAGCTTTTTGAATTTGACTGGGCCTGAGCTGATAGGATATTCACTGAAAATATGGTAGGCTTTAAAATTCATACGGCTCAGTCTCTTCTTTTTATCCTATCATCAGTAAACACTGAGCTATCACTCTGTCTTCATTTTGAATTTTGTTCATAAATATTTCCAGCCTTCTGTCGTTTTTGTCATGCCCATCATTCCGGTTACAGTTAATCTTAGTTTTTTCTGGTCAGAAAAGAAAAAAGAAGCTATTGCGAAAATTCCTTTTTTCACTCTTTGCTGATAGAATTAAAAAAGTATTCCTACCCCAAAAACTTTTGAAACACTTTTTCACATCACATCCTCATGCATCTTCATTTATTTTAGTAGGATTTTTGTGAGAGACACAAAACAGTCCAGAATTTCATAGAAAATAAAAGTTAAAAGATTCTTAACAGTTTTTACAAATACCAATCTAAAAGGTGTGGCATACATATCTTATAGGTGTGTATCAATACCAAACCGTACCAAATTGCAATTACAGCTTTTGCGTTATTTCTACTGCAGCAACGTACACATGCATTGGTCTCTAATCTTTCAGGGTTGATATTATGAAACCTTTAGACGTGTCTGTTCCCTTACATATCTGAATCAAATGGCTGAACTACCTTGTTATCAGCAAGGCTATGCAGAGCTCTGCTAATGAGCTTATATTGGACTCAGGTGTGCTGAAGCAGACGCTCATGTAAATGTTGCAGGACAGCAATCTGAGAGGACTGAAGTTTAGACCACTGCTTCAACTAAACCAGGGGATGCATTCAGACTGAGCTCAGTGTCCAAGGCGAGGGCAGTGGATTTACATTTACACCTCATACTACTTGATAGAACTGAGGTCTTGTCAAACAGTAGCACTGCAACCAATCAAGCATTGTTGTGATTGTGACGTAGGTTAAGAACTATAGCTTTTTTCAGTCAAAATGGAATTGAAAGGAAATAATAATAATAAAATAAAGAACAAAGGATAAAATACTGAATGCTCTGAAGAGATTTTTAGGTGGCTTTTAAAAAAGGCCATTTTCATTTAGCCCTAGAAGGACTGTTCATTATCCTCCCTTACCTCCAGCACAGACCCCCTTCTGTTACTGCCCACGCCCACATTGGTGATTTCTTCAGAGGTAGATTTACAAGTACCACCTAAATAGACAGATTTTTTAATTTTGGAGCTTAATGGGGGGATAGAAGACCTAATAATAATAATCATTATGATCTCTGACACAACAGTAGCACACATTTTTTTTCACATTGGTGGAGTTTAAGGTTCCTGCAGCTGAAGCTCCTCCTATTTGATGATGCGGTGCATTATAAACACTATGCATCTGAAATGCGCAGTGCTGACAGATCACGTTCAGTCTGACTGAACCTTAAAAAATTAATTTGTGGCCCTTGGAAGGATTTTGTGTGGCCCTGAACTTTAATTCTAGGATGGTACAGCTATGGCCTACCAACACATACAGGTGATATACAGCAAGTATTTCTATACAGTACATAATGACCCTGTGCTTGTCTGTGCATTTAATAGCCAATGATGATGAACAACAACATTTCAGATTTAAAGGAAGTTTAACTATTTTGTTTCTTCTGTTGGAAAATGTTCCTAATTAGTTTATTGATTGACATCTAAACAATAAAAAAGTAGGAAATCTCTCAATAACTCATCGTTACATTTCTTGCCATTTCACAAAATCTTAATTAAGGCCCCACTATTTATCCTGGCCCACCAGGCAAAAGTGAAAAACATTTAATGCTTAGGTTCATTATCTTCCAGATGATAAACACAGCCTAGTTACAATCCTTTTGCAGCCAGTAACAGGTTTTCCTTAGGGTTTTGCTTTAACTTCCCATCAAGTTTTAACTCTTTGATCCCACAGCATGATGCTGGCATCTCCATGTTTTACTTTCGAAGTTGCATTTTCGGGAAAATCTACAAGCTTTCCTTTAGGATGAGAGTAAAGCCAAGTCCCACTGTTTAGATATTTTCTTTTTTATTAAAACTATTGTTCGCTTTTCCTACTAAAAATTGAAAGAAAAGTGGCACTTTTGGTTTGCGTTCACAACATACATATAACATCTTCTTAAAATATGCAAACATTTGTCGTTGGAATTAGACAAAATGTGTGAGAATAAATGCCTTTACAAGGTGCTGTAATTGGTTGCATTTAATTAAAAATCATTCCCTGTAGATATACTTACGAGGGAATGTTTCTGAATGCCTGGTAGAGTTTTTTTTAACACTGATATTGCAAAGATGCAATTACCTTAAAACCATTTCATGCATTGTTTCCTGTTGTTTTATTGTCTTTTTCAAAAATATACCAAGTTTCTGATGGTTTATTTGTATTTTTGTATCATTTAGATTCCCATTTTTTTACTTAAATGGAAAGTTATTTTTTACAAGGCCTCAGTAGCTGTTTTAACATAAAATTGGCATTTCAAAAATCTCTAAAGAATTTAAAAACAAAACAGTTAACCATCAGCAGGACTTTAACTCCATTATCATATTACAATAAAGCTCCTGAAAAGGAGTTCTGAATATTCATAAACTGTAATTGTTCCCCACGCTTCACATTGACTGTAAATATCCAAAGATATAAGCAATTCCTTTCACCCTCATTTGCTTTGTTAGTTTCATTGAATCTAACATATAAAGCAACAGTGTTTCTTGTGGTCTATGTGTTAAATGAACAGACTGTATGTCTCAGGCTATATACAGGCCAAAACGCATCCAGGTCCTGGTTCAAGGTACGGTCGTCTCCATCCTTGACATCTGCAATTTCCAAGGTTCAGACATAAAATCCATTGTTATATTCTCTTTTGCTTTAGATAAAAAAAACCGGCAAAAGAAAAATAAAGGAATTTTTTTTTTTTTTTTTTTTTTTTTGGAGGATTAGGTCAAAAGGGTTAAAATGGAGTCATCAAAATCTTAAAAATCTAATTTGCACATAATCTAACAAGTTCACAAGATCACAAAGGTTGAGATCATACTTTGATTTTACATCACCAGCTTTTCTCTCTCCTGGTTTCAGATGTTTGAAAGCAGATTCATAACTCTAACCTCTCATCCTTTGCTTATGATAACTCCAAGAGCTCCATATCTGACTGTTACCCTAATTTAACTCAGTTTCTCTCTTTTCACATCTTTCTATGAATGGGGCACTTGACACAACGACATATCAGAGATTGAAACTTGAAACCTTGAGCCTTTTCAGTCAGTAGAAAGATAGATATTTCTTACATTCTGTCTACTCGGGTTATGTGTCTATTCTATTGCTATATACGTTCCCTATAATCATTGTTTGGTTAACACGGAGGCCATGCCATTATGGATTTCATGAAAGCCAAAACACAGGAAAGCTACTGTGCAGTTCTGGATCAGAGTTCAGTTGAATTTTAGAGGATTTTAGGGGATATGAATTCTATTGCTATCGATCAGGTGTCTTATATTTATATCTTACACAAACATTTATTTATAAGGTTTTATTAACCATCCCTACAGGTTATAGTACACAATAATAATTTTAGATTTTTTACATCTGTGTGTGAAACTGGAAGTTCTAAACTTCTCCTGACCTTATTCAACAAGCCTTACAAATTCTTTTTTGCATGTCTTAAACAACACTATACCACTGTACTTTTGGCAAGAAACAAAGTTCTAAACCACTGTTGTAGACTGTTAAATCTTTTATAATTTTTTCCTATAACTATACAGTGTGTTTTAATGAGGCTTCCTTTCGTGAACGGGGTCATAAATTATTAAAATTAAAAGCAGAGGCTTCCAGTGTATATAATTACACACACCCTAATGTGCACAAAGGGAAGAGTCATACTGTAAGGAGCTTTGCACAGAAACCACGTTCCACTGTGTTCATTAACAAACAGACAAAATGATTGATAAACTGACTTTCAAGAAAAAAATCATGAACGAATAGGCCTGTTAGCAACATTAGCTCAATAGAAAGTAACTGTGTGTATCTCTGGATGGTAAATACAGCATATATTAAATCACAAAAGTTGGCTTTGACCTCAAAAAGCATAAAACAGGGCAATATTTACATAGTCAGACAAGCCCTGTTGGGATTTACTGCAGTGCATCTTGCTCTTAAAGTATTTGTTTTTCCTAGAAGCACAATTTTGAAAGAATTGTGGAAAATGAACATAAAATACCGAAGGATAATGAAGTGGATGGACAAATAAGTGCTTTGAAAACCCTAAAAATGTTAAACATATGCATCCAGTCCCCGTAAATATGACATTGCTAATTAATTAAGTGTAATCATTTTTGTTTTATTTCAGAAACCATTACTTCAGCAAATACAGTCCCACAATGTATTATTTAATGTAACTTTAAATCTTCATTTTTAGTAAGGTCCTAGAAACGTTTGTTGTAGCATATTGGTAAATGAGCAGTGTCTTCGAGACCAAGGAACACAGCTGGTTGGTCAAGGTTAAAGTACATTTAGTGTCAGGTTGTGTGGAGGTTTTGAAGACCCAAATGCAGAGAGGAGTAGGCACGGTTGAGTTTGGATGATTTAATGAAACTCTAAGGGAACCAGAAGCAAAAATCCAAACTACAAATACTGAAAACCAAACAAAAACCAATAAACGTCAGGGAAAATACTCAAGGGAAGCAAGAGACTAGAAAGCAATGAAACATCTACAATACATGAAACCAGCCCTGATGAAGGCTCTGCTGCTCTTTTAAGCCCAGCACTCTGATTAGAAACATTATCTTTACCTGTGTAGGCTACCCAGGTTCTCCACAAAGATCCTCTCTGGAAGGGATGCATAACTCTCACTCACTAACACACAGGAACGCTGACATTTAGGCTACAAAGTATCCCCTCAAAAACTAAACCCCTAAAAAAAAAAAATTTCTTTTTTTTCTAACCACAAATCTAGAGAGGTGTGGCTTTCTCCCAAAAATGACGAGAGCTCTAATCAGAGAGAGAGGTCGCTCTGGTGGTGCTACAGAGATCCAGAGCGCAGAATTTATGACAATTTTTTTACTTTATATATATAAAAAAAAAAAAAAACACTACTGTGAAGAGAATGCATTAGATGTTGCTTTGAAAGTTAAACGCTTCATGTGGGGGGGCATACCAAACATGTTAAAGCATCTGATATCATGATGCAAAAAATCTACCTTTCAGCCTTCATATATAAAAGGGTTTGTGAGGCAATGCAAGTTTATTTGTATATCAGAATTCAGTACAGGGAAAGTACGATTCAGAGTGCTTAGTTTTCAAAATAAAAGAAAAATAAAGCCCGAATTAAAGCAAATAAAGATAAAAACATTGGGGTACTGTTAAATTGAAAGATTTAGCTCCTGTTGAAATTTCACACCTGTTTCTTGGAGTTTTGTTTGTTGGAATATTCAAGATGAAACCATATTTATGTGTTGTAATTCACCCCAAAAAGTCCAACTCCACTCAGATTTCGGTGAGATTTTATATTCATACATATTCTAATGAGTTTAAGGTGTTTTTCTTTGAAGGTTGCATAAATATGTTATTCTTTAGAGATGCAAAGATGGTTGATTAAATGAATTGATTGAATTTCTGCTATACAAATAAAACTGATTTGATTTGTTTTGATTAAATCTTATCCCAACACACTTGCAGATTTAGCTGGAGCAAAAGGTTTTTCTACACAGGATGGCTTAATAAATACCCAGGCTACATGTCTAAGTCTCTAAAAGGAATTTCTTAAAGCTACAAGCATTTGATGATGTGCAAAATGGTACCATGTGTTTACAGGCAGTGCCATTTGTACTGTTTGATAATGAGCACTAAACAGTTATAGATGATGTCAGAATTTGACACTCATAAATTTCATCTCAGGCACAATCTTCTTTCCATTTCCTTTCTAAGTCTTTTTCTCTTTCATCCTAATTCTTCACTTCTTTGCTGTCATGTTACAGCTGTTTTATCATTCCTCTCTGTCCTCCCTCTTACTTCCATGGTTTTTCTTTTAATCTGATACTTTTCCTTTTTTGTTGAACTCCACTCCTGACAAGGTAAAAATTCATTTTAGCACAAAGTTTGCAGAGGCCCTCAAAATTCAAAAAGACAGGAACCGTACTCCTCTTGTCAGATGCTGTGCCTTTATCCTTCTTTTTTTCTCCTCCCGTTTTCTTTTTACACCGTCATCCTCCTTCGGCCTTGAGCTAAATGAACTGTGACACCAAAGGTTAGAAGCAGATCCCAGCAGATATAGGAGGCACTCTTTAATTAAGACGCTATCTTTCCACCATTCCCTCATTTCTGTTCATCAGAATCCACTGCCGCCATCTCCCAGGTTTCGATTAGGCCAACTTTCATTTGCTTGCAGGCAATAATTGAAAACTCAGCGTGATAAACGTAATGTTGTATTCTGCCTAAACAAGCACAAACTCCCGGTACGTGACCGTGTCAAGTCCCGTTAGGACGGCCGGGCTTTCTCTCCTCCCACTTTGTGTCTCTCCTCCTTCCCCCCTAATCTTGCTTGGCACTCTTATAGTTCTTTTTCATGTCTGCTTTCCTTCAAACATATTGACATCCATAGCCACATCAATCATATTTCTATTGCCTCCTTTTCTTTTTTTGTGTCACACTTTTACTGTGATGTCCCCCTCCCCGACCCAATGTCTGCTCCAGTTAAAATCTCAATTGGTTTATGCATATTTCCTCTTTTATCCTTCTGCTCCCTCTCCCTTTCTTTTGGATGCAGACACACAAAACATTTAGTTGATTTGCTATCTGAATACAAACGGTGCTGCTGCTAATAATTGCCATGAAATGTAGATGCAAATTGCTTTCTCTTCTCTTGCCCCTTTTTCATTCTGCCCTCTGCGTATCCTCCCCTCTGTGGGTGCCTGTTGAAGCTCTAAAAAATTCATTCATCTGTTACTAACTTCTACCTCTCCATCGGCGTACTTTTTCTGTCCCCCCCTCTGCGCTCCTGGCTAACAATCTCCTCCCTGCTGCCTTCTCCTTTTAAGACTGTGATAACTCTGCTGGGGGGGTGGGAGAAAGAACAAATTTGTGTTTTTGCTGCTAACTCCCACATTCATCCCCCATCCTCTCTTTAGGTGTTCTATCGCAGCAGGACAATGGAAAGACATTCAGCGTGTCCAGCACCATCCGCATCCCGGTGGAGAGGAAAGATAACGGGGCGGCACTGAACTGTGAGGCACTCCACCCAGCACTGAGCGGCCAAAAGAGGGTTCGACATTATCGGCTGGACGTGTATTGTAAGTCCTCTTGCCTTATTACATCACTTTTTTACAACCTGTCAAGCAGATTAAAAGGCTTAATGTTCATTTCTAAATATTTCAAAACTAGTCATTATTCCATCTGTGCTGCTGTCTCCTACATTAAAACTTTAACACTTTTCATTATAAAGTTTTCCCTGCAAAAATTGGTCACAGTTAGAGCCTCATTTTTCAAACAATAAACGTTTTATTGTAGACCAGATTTTCTTAGGTATGCAGAGCAGCCCAGTGTGAGAGCAGCCGTATGCGTAGAAATCCTGCTGTGCAGAAATAGACCTGTTGCCAAGTCAGGATCCTGGCCTGTGGTTTTCAGAGCTTACCAACATAGACATTATAAAACAGGAAAGCTTTAATCTGATAAGCACTGTATGTACGAAGATTTGAGGACCATCATCAGCCATGATCAGTATCTGATTTCAGAAGCTCGTAAATTCTGATTCAGTCTTGGAGAAGAAAGAGCATCAAATATGTTGAGTGGTTTTATTCCATTAGATATTATATTAAGATGACATTGTAAACAATTTTTATCACATATAGTGAAAAGGTATCATGTTCTCAATGCTGGTTTTTTGCAGCACTGCTGAGAAACACACAAAAACCTTAAAATACCACATTTATGTATTTTAACAGAAGTAGTCGTCATTTCATATCTCTCCTAGTGTTTTTATCTTTTTTTTTCTTTTTTATTCTTTTCCATATAAAATGATCCTGTTCAGCTTTAATCAATGCATAAATTCTTTGTTTTGAACCACAGGCAATAAAATGCATCATTTAAAAAAGAGGGAAATAGTCCTATAATTTACAGTGCTTGGGAAGCTTTGAATGCTGATTTCTGAATTATTAGGGGCTTATGGGTAGTAGTCTGTATCATCACAGCAAGTTTATTTCATTAAATTTCATATCCACTCAGGGAACCAAGACAAATTCTCAGTAGGGATGTAATCTTATATTTGACAGATCAGACCAGACAAAGCACAATAATTGGTTCATAAGAACAAAATGAGATGTGATTAATGCAAAACTGAGAAGTACCATTTAGTTTTTCTTGTTTGTAGTAATAGAGTAGAAGTTTCAAGTGTTGTCTGCTCTGTTAGCAGCTAGCAGTTAGTTCTTTTTCTCTGACATTTGATGAACAGTTGGAGTTTTTTTTTTTTCTGTTTTTTTTTTACCTTTACTTAACCAGGAAAAAAATCCAAAGTTAGCAGCAAAGTTTCATAAGATACATTAAACAAAGATACATTAAAATAAATGACAGGTACATCCATACAGTTTAAAGGTACATTCAGCTAATGATGTGAGAAAACACACAAAACCAAGCTAAAGGTATAGTGGAGGATTTTCGCAAATTTCGCAAAGACCCCCCCTCTCCACTCCAAAAAAAAATGCACATGCACAACCCTGTACCTGCACCCATAACTGAACGTCTTTTAAGATCGCCTAGAAGGTGGTGAGGATGGGTGGGGGCAGGTGGGCTGTCCTCATGTGCTCCCTACAGAGGATGAGGAGAGCCCACCTGCCCCCACCCATCCTCACTACCTTCTAAAGAAGCATAATAGAGAGCGTTCAGACGTGCTGTCTCACTGTGTGGTGTGGAGGCTGCAGCGCCGCAGATTGGAAGAAGGTGAGGAGAGTAGTGACAACAGCAGAGAGGATCAACAATAAAAGACATTTCATCCCAGCAGCATGTTCCGAGCTCGTAACATTATAAATGACCCCAGGAGATTCCAAAACATTACCGCCATCAGACTGCCAAATGTTGAAAAAACTCTTAATCATGTCACAGACTGTGCATGAAACTGACCATATCAATGTGTTTTTTTGCACCATGTTTTTTCTCCCACAGTGTGTACATTTGATCACTCCTGTACTTTGCCATGAAATGCCATGAGAGCTGTACAAAACAAAATTTTGTTTTGTATACAATCTGTGTATACAAAATGATAATAAAAGTTTATTAAAAGTTAATTCTAAGTCTAAACATGGGTGAGAGTATACACGAGCCCATTTCTCCTCATGCACGCTCTGTTTTTCAAAGTTGCTCTTTGCATTGCTCATACAAGCTTACTTTCCCATATGTCAGACTCACCACCGGTAAGTGAAAATAGGAAAGGCCTTACATAAACATATATAACCAGTTACCAATATAACCAAAATGATTGACAATTAGGAGGAGATCCTATTGACTTATGGCCAAGAAAGGTTTTTTTTTTGGTTGTTGTTGTGTTTTTAAGAAAAGACTGTTTGTGGAGAAACCCATTTAAATTCCATAAAATCTTTTTCTGTTTTTCTTTCTAACCTTCCCTTGCAGTAAGATTAGTAACCCCCACTCCCATTTCCACAAAATGGTTTGGCTGTTTATGTTGCTTCACCAAGTATATTATGTTGCTCCAGTAAAGTACAAAATGCTCGGTGTTCTATAGGTAGAGAAAGGGGAAATAAAAGGCCTGAATCTTCCTCTCCGCTCTGGGTCAGGCAGCCGCTCAATCACTTTGATACAGACATGACATCACGATCGTCACCTGAGAAAAAGGCATCAAGCGGCAGGTATAGGCTGCCTTTTGTTTGCTTTTACATACAGACAGTCACGTCTCTGTGTCACTGCTCTAATGGTGCTTACAAATGCTGAAGCTCCAGCCAGGGACATGCTAGATAAAGGTATAATTAGGATAAGTCCATTAGGTATCTTTTAAAAGCTATGCTTTCAAATGTGCTATAGACTGAGTTGACTGTCAGGCTCATCCACCATTGCACCTGCAGGAAAGGGCTGTAGATAATCAGCTATGTATAAAAACAAGATCCTGCTATAGAACATCAACTGATAAACAAAGATTCTCACAGTATTATTTTGTTCTTAAATCCAAAAATGTCATGCAGACATCTATAAATTGGAACACTTGAGACTGTTTCAGGTATAGAAAAAATTACATTAAACATTGCCAATATTTCTTTTTGTAAAAGTAAAATCTTGAGTGTAACATGAAATGCAAACGTCACACTAATGAAATAAACTTCAAGCTTAATATTTTTTCTTTTTCAATATAAATTATTAGTAATAATTAAATACATATTTTACTGCATGGCAATTTCCTGAAGACAAATTAAACTTATTTTATATTTTTGTCCTACTTAGCAAAATGACTCTTGCTACCAAAAAAAAAAATCACTGAAGTCCATTTGGATTTGCAAGGTGTTCTGACTTTCATTATGTGCTTTGGAAAAGAGCAAAAAACTAAAAAATAAAGTAAGTCGGTCAGTAAGCCTCAAACTGTAGCTGGAAGAGTTGCATAATTTTGATTTAAAGGGTTTAATTCATTTATTAGTCTAATATGTTGATGAGTCATTATAAATACATTTCTAATCACAGCCTTTTCATTTTAACTGTACTTATATAATTTTTTCATGAACAGAAGTTTTTGT